AGAAGCCACATTTCTGAAACCCTAAAAAAATATTTTTTCTATATATATATTTGAACTGGTGCAGTGTTGGAAATCTGAACAGTGTGGTTCTTGTTGTAGTTAATGCTTTTGTGCTATCATGACATATTTGTTGTAATATATGTTATACTTGCATGCTTGAATTTCACCTTGAATGGCCTTATTTTGCTCTTACTTGTACTAACCACTAATGTGAAATAAACTTAGTGTGAAAAGGGGAAAACTGAATGGGTTGGTAAAGAGGGTTGACGACCACACTAGTTATACATAGTAAATGATTAGAATGTTAAGTTGATATTAGTAGTGGATTAAAATGAGCAAGTCTTGCGTAAGTGGTTGTTTCAAAACCCTTGAATGGAGCGGTTGTATTCGGACCCTAGGTAGTTCGGAGTATCATTACCGTCTCTTTTGAGGCCTTGCGGGTGGCACTACGTGGTAAATAACTGTTGGTAGGCATCCGAGGTAAGGTCTGCAACAAAGCAGCAAAAGAGGGGGCGTGCCGAATAATTTGCATCCAATTCTTGGAGTTAGGAGGACGAAATCTCTTTGGGGGGATTTCTAGACTACTAACAACTAACCATATAATCTGTGTTATAAATTTAAATGCTATGATTCCTTTCCTCTGTCTTTGTAAATGCTGTTGTGTATTGAACTGGGAAAAGGGGATGGGGTAAGTGTACGTTTACTGGGTATTCAAAACTCACGGCGTATCATGCTAGGTGCTGAAAAGGAGCTTATAGCAAGAGACGACCAGCCAGAAACCTTCGAAGACATTTGGCTATCTTGGAAAAGTTAGAACTTTTCCTTTTTGATGTTTCGTAAGGTTCATATGAAATTTTAAATTGTTCTTTTGGGATGTAATGTTAATGGAACAAGCTTTTGTAATTAAGGATATTCGTAACTATTCTATTATTATGTACTTATATTCCAACACCAATATAATCCATGACTTTACTTATGAGACCTTGTGTCAATGCCTCTTAAGATCTGTCAAAAAGGTAGTGCGCTACCTAAAAAAGCTGGACTTAGAAGGGAGGCCAATTTGACTCCTCCAGTGATCTGGGATCTTACTTGGTTATTGGCCATAGGACTCATTAGTGACTTTTACTTGACTACAACCCTTAGTATAGATTTGGGGCATCACAATTTGGTATCAGAGCTTAGGTTCGACCCTTAGCCCGTGTAACCCAATACATGACTCTTTACATTATTGTATTTTATTATCACACTATTATATTTAAATGAGACTAATAATTAAAATCTTTTCCCTCTACCCTAGGACGTCATCAGAAAGCCGCCAAACAACCGACATCAGTCTCGACACATGGGGAACATTCCACATGCAAAGCAGGAGGGCCCTGTCCCTCAATACCTACTTCAGTCGTCGAAGGTGTGAATTTGCTGCTGAGGAGCTGATTATCAAGAAGATATGAAAGGTGGAAACGAATTACTACTATTACACGAGGGAACAAAAGAGATCATTGGTTCGACGACGCCTACAATACCTTAGTCATGCAGCGAAATATGCAGTCTGAAATGAACAGCATGACCAGAAAATAGACACTCTCACTCAGCCTTAGCAGGAGAAACACTGCACCAATTTCCAACGGAAAGTGCCGTCTCTCACTACCCTGGGTAGAGCAATAGTCCGCTAATGGAGGTAGAACATTGCCAGTACAACCAGGAACAACTCCAGCCTTCCCAATTGAGGTGTCATCTGAACACATCCCCCCTTCGCCGATACACATGCCCCACTCCCCTAGCTAGGAAACCGACTCGGCAGATAAGGATCCCAAAGAAGACTTCGATTGGTCAGGGAATGAAAGTTAATCTAGAGATAGTAAGCTAGACTTTTTGTGGGATCCACTCGTGGTAGGGGTTTTTAAAATATATGTAGTAATCATGTGACTATGGCGTGTGTAATGCTTTTGAGTAAAACTATTATATGGAAGTTTTTTGTACTAATGCCTAATATAATGAAATGATGGTTTGATCTACATCTATTGATTGTTACTTGTTTTAATATTTGTCACATCCTAAGAAAACTAAACCTTAATTTCAAATCTCGTAAAAATATTACCTCTAGCTGAGAAATCTAGAAACCAACTTACCATGTAGTGTGAACATAATAGTGGATACACGAGCTAACGACTATTCTAAAACCAACAGCAATGCCCGAAATCATCCCAGAAATCAGCATGGGCCCATACCCGTGGAAGCCAGTATCCCAAATAACCTTGGGCATCAAATTTTGGAAGAATTGGGACAGCTAAGGAACAATCGGCAAAACGAGAGGACTCGACGCTTTTAAGAGTTTAGAAAACAAAGGCCTCCAAAATTCACAGGAGTACCAGACCTGAGGTTGGTTGAGAATTGGCTTTGGCAGATAGAGAAGATGTTGGACACTATGGGAATAATCGAAGATGCCGATAGAATAGCCTTGGTTGTGTTCGAGCTTGATGATGAGGCCAATCATTGCTGGTAACTAATCAAGAATACACGTGACGTTACAAACATGTCGTGGAACTAGTTTAAGGAATTATTTCTAAATAAATACTTTATAAGTACAGTTCGTCGAGAGCGAGTCAGGGAATTCCAAAACCTGGAGCAAGGGAATATGACCTTAACTTAGTATGCTACAAAATGTGAAGAGTTAGCCCGTTACGCAACAAGATATATCGCAAATGACGAAGAGAAAACAATGATGTTCAAGTGAGGGTTAGACCTTACAATCAGGGGAATAGTTCTCCCGCAACGACTCTGCTCATATACCGAGGTATTGGAGACGGCATTAGAATTTAAAAGGGAAATAGCCGACACTAGGAAAACTTGGAACAAACGGAAGGGAGGTTAAACATCTGTAGGACCTTAGAGGAACCAGAAGGGAAACACGGCCTCCAAGCCCTACTCCAGACCACAACCACAACAGCAACGACAATAACTACAGCAACAGATTCAGAAGGAATGTTATCAACTAAGGCCGGCAGGACAACTCTAGTGCTTTCATTGCCAGCAGTTAGGGCACAAAAAGAGAGAATGCCCTCAACTCCCTTCATCAGGATACCAGGGAGGAGGTTCCGAAGCAAATGCCCAAGCACTGGAAGGACAGAAGCCTTGGACAAACAAGACAGGATCTACAGGGCAGCAACACTAGAAGAGTGGAGGAACTCAGAATGCTAGGACCAGTGGCAACCAGAAGGTAACCGACAGAGTCTTTGCCTTGCAAGAGAAAGAAGCGGACCCATCTGTAATTGAGGGTAATTTAGTGCTATATAATTCTTGGGTACATGTTTTATTTGATATTGGTGCATCGCATTCTTTTATATCCTCTGCTTGTGCTAAGTCATTAAAACTTGTACGTGAACCCTTAAAGACTACCTTAAGTGTAATATCACCTATGGGAGGGTGCATTTGGATAGGACTGATCTGTAAGGATTATAAAATAGGAGTGTCAAACCTTCGCTTAACTTGCGACCTTCGTGTCATGGAAATGTCAAACTTCAATCTCATTTTGGGCATAGACTGGTTGTCTGCCCACCTAGCGGTGATCGATTGCCGTCAAAAGAAAGTAGAAGCTCACACGCCTGACGGAACACATTTCCAGTTTAAGAGAGATAGACAAGACTCCATGACTTCAACAAAACGTAAGACGCGGTGGCACGATCAACTTGCGGATAGGATAGCAACTTTGATTTTAAATGAGGAGGGCCAAGAAGAATTAGAACTTCCGCGAGTAGTATGTGAATATGCAGATGTATTTCCTACAGAATTACCGAGATTGCCACCAACCCAAGAGGTAGACTTTAGTATTGAGCTACAACCTGGAACTACTCCAATATCCATGGCCCTATATCGTATGGCACCGATAGAACTGCGAGAATTAAAGACGCAATTGCAAGAGTTGCTCGAAAAAGGATTCGTTAGGCCAAGTACTTCACCATGGGGAGCACTCGTGTTGTTTGCTAAAAAGAAGGATGGGTCGTTAAGGCTATGCATCGATTACCGACAACTCAACCGAGTCACGATCAAGAACCGATACCACTTCCAAGGATTGATGATCTTTTTGATCAACTTAGAGACTCAAGGTGTTATTCAAAGATCGATTTTAGGTCGAGCTACCACCAAGTATGTGTCAAGGAGGAGGATATACCAAAAACTGTCTTTCGAACGAGATATGGTCACTATGAGTTTGTAGTAATGCCCTTTGGACTAACCAATGCATCGACAATATTTATAAGCCTAATGAACAAGATTTTTGCACCATATCTTGACTAGTTTGTAATAGTGTTCATTGATGACATATTGGTATATTCAAGTCTAAAAAAGAGAATGAGCAACATTTAAGGAATGTCCTTCAAGTTCTTAGGGGCAATCGGTTGTATGCCAAGGCAAGCAAATATGAGTTTTGGTTAAACAAAGTGAAATTCTTAGGGCATGCAGTGTCTGAGAATGGGACTGCAGTGGATCCAACCAAGGTGGAAGCAGTCTTAGATTGGAGACAACCGAAAACCGTGTCAGAAGTCCACAGTTTATTAGGATTGGCTGGTTACTACCGAACGTTTATCCAAGATTTCTCCAAACTAGCTAGACCAATGACTCGTTTGACGCAGAAAGGAGTAAAGTATGAGTGGGACGAAGCTTGTGAAAAATCCTTCCAAGAGCTAAAGAAGAGATTAACTAGTGCGCCAATTTTGACCATCCCAGAACAGAAAGTGGGGTACACTATGTATTGCGATGCATCTAAGGAAGGGTTAGGCATTGTGCTCATGCAAAATGAAAAGGTAGTCGTGTATGGATCTAGGTAGTTGAAAGCACATGAGCGTAACTACCCAACACATGATTTGGAATTGGCAGCCATAGTTTTTGCCCTAAAGCAATGGCGACATTTCCTGTATGGGAAACAATTTGAGATTTTCACAGATCACAAGAGTTTGAAGTATCTATTTACACAAAAGGACCTTAACTTGAGACAAAGACGATGGATGAAGTATCTTAAGGATTTCCAGTTCACCCTCTCATATCATCCCGATAAAGCCAATGTAGTAATAGACGTTTTGAGTCGTAAGAGCAGAGGGATGATAGCTAAAATTATCATAAAGGAATGGGATATGGTTAAGACACTCAATGAATTTAGAATTCAAGTAGAATCTCAAGATACAAAGGTATACCTTGGTGCACAGAAGATGATGCCTATGTTGATAAGTGAGATCATGGAGGCCCAGAAGCATGATCAAGAAGTAGCCTATATCAAGGGACATTTGGAATCAGGAGAACCAATGTTCGATTGGGCAATTCACCCCAATGGGAGTTTAAGATATCAAGGTAGATTGTTTGTGCCAAGTAATGAGTTGCTTAAAGAAAAGGTACTTAAGGAATGTCATCACTCTGTATTTGCGGTACATCCAGGAGGGACTAAAATGTACCAAGATTTGAAGAGGCATTATTGGCGGAGCGGAATGAAGAAGGATGTGGCTAAATTTGTAGCAAAATGTCTAATATGCCAACAAGTGAAGGCGGAACATCAAAAACCAGGAGGAATGTTGCAACCCCTACCAATAGCTAAATAGAAGTGAGAGTACATAACAATGGACTTTGTGACAGGGTTTCCCAGGACACCCAGAGGGCATGATGCTATATGGGTAATAGTGGATTACCTTACTAAGTCAACACATTTTTTACCCTATAAGATAACCGACACTTTAGAGTCTATGTGAAGACTCTATATTGGAGAAATCATTCGACTACATGGAATTTTGATATCTATTGTGTCAGATCGTGATCCACAATTCACCTCATGATTTTGCGGAAGTTTGTAAGAAGCTCTGGGTACTGAGTTATGTTTTAGCACCGCTTTTCACTCACAAACGGATGGACAATTTGAGCGCACCATCCTGACACTCGAAGATATGTTGAGAGCCTATGTAATGGATTTTCAAGGAAGTTAGGAACGACGTGTACCATTAATTGAATTCGCCTATAACAACAACTTTCAAGCTAGCATTGGTATGGCGCCTTTTGAAGCATTATATAGGCGACCTTGTAGATCGCCAATTTGTTGGACGGAAATAGGTGAAGCGAGCCTAATAGGACCCGAACTTGTCCTAGAGACCACTGAGAAGGTCAAATTGATCCGACAACGGTTAAAGACTACTCAAGATTGTCAAAAGAATTACGCAGATAGGAGGAGAAGGCCATTGATTTTTGAAGTAGGCGACCATGTATTTCTAAAGGTGCAACCTAGGCGTGGGATTGTACGTTTTGGAAGGAAAAGGAAGCTATCACCACGATATATCGGACCTTTTGAGATATTGGAGAAGGTAGGCGAAGTGCCATATCGACTAGCTCTATCCCCGCAGTTAGCAGGATATACAATGTCTTTCATGTATCTATGTTGCGAAAGTACATTGCCGATCCATCACACGTCATCAACTGGGAATAAATCAGTCTCGACAAGGATGCTACCTTTGAAGAAGGACCTGTAGCAATACAAGATAGTGGAGAGAAGAATCTTAGGGGGCAAAACGGTTCATCTAGTAAAGGTACTTTGGCAACATCGTGGAATTGATAAATCAACCTGGAAACGTGAAGACATGATGAGGACAAACTATCTCCAATTTTTTGAGCCTAGTGTGTGATTGTAATTTCGAGGACCAAATTAGTTTAAGGGGGATAGGTTGTGAGGCCCCAACTTTATGTAATTTCTCCATACTCTTATAGTTAAAGGATTTCAATAAGAAATCCTGTTTCTCTATTTCTTGCAAATTAAACCCTAGAAATCATAAACAACTGCACGAGCTAACCGGCAAACCCTAATCGACTCTGGAAACTTAGGAAACATTCTAAAACCCTAAATTAATAATTTAGAAACCCTATAATGAAAATTTATAAGAGAAAAATCCTAGTTTCCGATACTTGTCATTTTAGCCTGGTATCTCGCCTTTTGTTGCGAATCGGCATCGCGTGACCCGAAATACTTTTCCTATCATTATTTTATTAAATATAGACTTAAATATATGTTTTATTTCAGAATTTCAGATTCAGCGATTTTCTTTCTTTATTATTGCATTTTGGCCCCCCAAAACCCCAATATTTTAATCAAACAAGGTATAACTACTTTTATACTGATTTTACATAATATCTACTATATTATAATATATAAAAAAAAATTCATTTCCCACATGTGTAGAAGACCAGTCGACTGCAAATAGTAGAAGGGACAAGGAAAATTAATTTTTTATTTATAATATCTTGAATTTTATATTGGCATATCTTTGAACAAATAAAAGGAAATGACTAGCAATAAATGCAATGTACTCTTGTCTCCTAATTAACTAATAAATAGAATTACTTTTTCTTAATCAAGATTAATTAACACTAGCCCTAATTGGATCTAATTACAAACCAACCAAACTAGATCAATTCCATTGAAATTCAACCAAATCATTCAACCACTTTCTCTCTACTCCTTGGCCTATAAATACAAGGCTCTAGCAACTCATATTCCTCACACTTCACACACATAGCAACCTACTGAAGTGAAAAGAGAGAGAGAGAGAGAGAGAGAGAGATTAAGAGAAATAGGAAGAAAAAAAGAAAGAAGGAAAGTAGGAAGAAAACTCTAAGCAACTAAGGTAAACCTCATACACCTCTTCTCTCAATGAATCATCATGTTTTTCCCCCTCATAATACATGATTAAAATGTATCTCATTTGATACTAAGAGTTACTACATTTGTTAGATGATGTATGGTTTGAAAATGAAATGTTCTTCTTCTTCCTTGTAATTTCCAACAAGCTTTTCTCAAGGTTTTTGATTTTATTTTTATTTCCATAGCAAACCTTCACCAACTCAAAATCTCTTTTAAAGAGGTATTAATTGACATATATAGAGTATGTGAGAATTTAGGCTAAGACCATGGATGTGTTTTTATGACTCATTTTATTTTTCTAAATACTTGCTGCAAAGAACCTGTTAAAACAGAGAACTTTAGAAAATTCTAGAAATTTGTAGAAAAATGGTCACACGTTCGTTTTTATATCAAAATTTTTCTTTGAATGTTAGCTTTGAAAAAAAATTTATTTCAATGAAAAGGAATGAGCATTTTAAGAGAAACACCAAAATTTGTAACAGTTGTAAAATCTAGACTTGCATGCTTGAGTTTGAGTTGTAAAATCTAGACTTGTAGTTAATGCTTTTGTGCTATCATGACATATTTGTTGTAATATATGCTATACTTGCATGCTTGAGTTTCATGTTGAATGGCCTTATTTTGCTCTTACTTGTGCTAACCATTAATGTGAAATGAACTTAGTGTGAAAAGGGAAAACTAAATGGGTTGGTAAAGAGGATTGACGACCACACTAGTTATACATAGTAAATGATGAGAATCTTAAGTTGATATTAGCAGTGGACTAAAATGAGCAAGTCTTGCGCAAGTGGTTGTTTTGGAACCCTTGAATGGAGCGGTTGTATTCGGACCCTAAGTAGTTCGATATAAGGAGGGATTTGGGCAAGGCCCATCACTACTGTCTCTTTTGAGGCCCTGCGGGTGGCGCTACGCGGTATATAACCATTGGTAGGCATCCGAGGTAAGGTCTGCAACAAAGCAGCAAAAGAAGGGGCATACCGAATAATCCACGTCTAATTCTTGGAGTTGGGAGGACGAAATCTCTCTGGGGGGATTTCTAGACTACTAACAATTAACCATATAATCTGTGTTATGGACTTAAATGCTATGATCCCTTTCCTCTGTCTTTGTAAATGCTGTTGTGTATTGGACTGGGCAAAAGGGATGGGGTGTGTGTGCGTTTACTGGGCATTCAAAGCTCACGACGTATCATGCCAGGTGCCGAAGAGGAACTTATAGCAGGAGATGACGAGCCAGAAACCTTCGAAGACATTTGGCTATCTTAAAAAAGTTAGAAATTTCCCTTTTGATGTTTTGTTAGGTTCATATGAAATTTTAAATTGTTCTTTTGGGATGTAATGTTAATGGAATGAGCTTTTGTAATTAAGGATATTCGTAACTATTCTATTATTATGTACTTATATTCCAACACCAATATAATCTTTGATGTTGCTTATGAGACCTTGTATCAATGCCTCTTAAGATCTGTCAAAAAGGTAGTGCGCTACCTAAGAAAGCTGGACTTAGAAGAGAGGCTAATTTGACTCCTCCGGTGATCTGGGATCTTACTTGGTTATTGGCTATAGGACTCATTAGTGATTTTCCCTTGACTACAACCCTTAGTGTAGATTTGGGGCGTCACACTTTCAATTTATTTGTCTAGATTCAAATTCAGTTTTCATATTTATAAAGATTATCACACACTCACATATGCTGATAAAATGTTCCTAATTCTTTCTAGAACATCCTATAGCTCTTATGGACTCGTGTGTGCAGCATAACTCGTGCTCTGATACCATTTTGTCACATCCCAAACCCGCTTCTATAGGTTTAGCGTCGTAACCGGCCAGTAATCCTTGGATTACCAAAGGCCTCTTGACAGAACAACATATAATAAGGGGCGGAAGCAAAAATAGAGAATATACAATGTCCATAAAGCTATGTTAACATATATGAGACAAAAATCTTCAAAACAAACTTGTATATATATAATGTCATAATTACATTATTGCATACATCGCCTATTCATAAACCTGAAACCAAAAAGGGGACCTAGCCTAGTACAGATATACGGAACAAAATCAACAAAGGCCTTGACATGGTCTTTTCAAAAGGAAACTCCTCGGGAGGCACGGTAGTTGGCTAACGAAACAGAATCTTAGGCCATCCACTCTGGGCCTGGTCACGTGTCTGCTCACCTACATATGTAATATAAATAGTGAGTTGGAGCCCAGTGAATAATAACGACGTAAAGGATTTAAATGAATGATGTCCATAACAGGTACCGAAATCAAAGTTCACATTAGAAAGAGATATATTTATCTTCTTGTTCAACTATATACAGAAATCAGAGTTCATGCTTCGTTATACATGGTACATCCATTAGCATTAACTTGCTTGATAGGTCTATTGGCAACCTCCAGTACTGGGAAACTTGTAACTTGCTGGAACCACGGTATTGTTAACCTCGGGTAAGGGCCATGAGACCATGGTATTATTACCTCCAAGCAAGGGCCTTACGTATAAAGAACGGTGTTGTTACTCCCGGGCAAGGGCCTCGTGCTAAGGATGCCATGAATACATTTCAGAAACTTGGACAATCATTCATTGCACAAAATATAACATTTCATGAAACAGATCTTAATTCATATCATTCAAAAAGTAATTAAATTAAACATAGCTTTACTAAGTTATTACTCACAGATGGCTCCACTTGTAGAATAGGCAAATCAAATAACTTGTGGCGTGTAACCTACACACACATAGCATTACACATAATAAAACACGCACTCGGTTGGTACTTACATTCTTTCGTTTCATTCTTACTGTGTTTCTAAGTCTTAACCTCTTATTGAGTCTTAATCATGGCCTAGGAGTGCCTAGGATGCAATGAGGATGCTAAAATGCATTTGAACACTTTTAACAACACTTGCACAAAATAGGAGTCCCGCTCAAGCGCAATTTCCCTCACTTGAGCGGACATATAAACATGTGAGGGGACGCTCAACCGCAAATTCCCTCGCTTGTTTGTAAACATCGAAAAAGTACTGGTTATGAGAAATCTCTGCTCGATGGCTACTCGACTCTTCCTCGAGCGTGAGACTCATGCCCTCGCTCGAGCGCAACTCTTGTCGCTCGAGTGGTCTGCAAAACATGCAAACTTCTGGGAGCATGTATTTCATGCTCAAGCGGACTTCAG